ATAGAAAAACAAATAATAAAGATTGTACCTCATCTTAACTCATGATCATTATCTCATTACCAACATGCCAAGGACTAAGGTCTATAACGCCGAGCCTCAAACCAATAACAAAATAATAATCTCAATTTTTTTGATCTCATACATCGATCAAATAATCATAAACTTGATAATAAATAGTATCTCAATAATGGTACGAGTTCCCAAATTACATGACAATTCGATTCATAATATCTCAGATCTAAAAAAAAACACTAATAACCCAAATATAATCAAATATCAACCCAAAAATAATACTCTGTATTAACAACCCTAAAACCTCGATAAACAATACTCCCTATAACAATAACATTAAAATCCCAGAAGAAAAAAAATAGAACAATCAATCAATACAACAATAATAACAAGACAATTAAATAAGATCATATCATAAAATTATATACATAAATCATAGCTATAAACTCAAGCATATAAATATCAAATCATACGATAATATAAAGCAATAATTACACAAACAATTCCAAAGTAAATCCGTGTAATTACACATAATAAATAATACAATCAAACATCTCCAAATTGATAAAGTGTGATTACCTTCGGCTACAAAAGTATTAGAGGATTGTTGATCTTGTTGCGTCAAAGTATCCGACTCATGCCAAATATTATTTCTTGGCAATGATTTAAAAACATATTTGATCATCAAAGATAATGATGATGTTATGTGCATAAATTGGTGGAAGCTAAGTATGAATGGATAGACTTTCACCCACAACTGCAAAGAACAAATCAATAAGAATAACAATAAAAACTAAACACACGGCTGCACAAATACTTTTGCATCCACAATTTAATAGGGTTATAAACTTATAATAGTTTATATACCCTTAAAAATATAGAATCCTATTTCAATTAAAATAGGGTTTTAAACCTCTATCAAATAATAGGATACAAAATAAAAGATACGAAATAATATCTGATATTTATACTTTATAAGATACAAAATTCAAGGGTATTACATTTATGACAACATTTATCCTATTTCATTAAATCAAGTCTACCACGAACATTTATGACAGCATATAATGATCATAAATAATGGCTCCAAACGGCATCATATGACCCCGAGATGTATCCCCTAGAATTTCAAGACTTTTCGACACCGAGTCCCGAATCCTCCAAAATTTCTCAAAAAGCGTGGATATTAGCCTTCAATTTTGTAATTTTTGACTGTTTTCGCCCGGAAATAAAAATTGCCGAAATGTTTACCATGATCCTTAATACCCTATAGGAGTCTAGTTGGGTGTGTGGAACCATCCAATTTGCTGTTAAACAGCCAATTTACCAGTTTACAACTTGCACCGATTTACCGGTTTACAACGGCCAATTTAATTAACTTGCAACGAACCCGACTTGAACCGAATTTGACCCTAACCCGTCAAAACCCGAATTTAACCCAACCTGTTACAAACCCGACCCAAAATCAACTCGACTTGTTATTGACCTAACAAAGATTCAACCCGACTTGTTATTGACCCGACTCGGATTTTACCGGACCTATTACTTACCCGACCCAAAAATTCAACCCGATCTGTTAATAACCAGACTCGAAATTAACACGTCTTGTTATTGACCCAACCTAAATTCAACCCAAATTGTTCCTGACCCGATTTCAAATAATCTTAAATGCAATTTAGACCACCTTATTATTGTTGATCAAAGCATTTTGTCTAGAGAGACCAAATCGGTCTAGACCAGCAAAAGAAAAGAGCATCATCCTCAAATTTAAGAGTTAAATATAGTATATATTTGTTGTATGGTCAAATAAGATAATTATCTTCCTAAATTATAGACTATAGTTCTCTAGTATATTGTCATATATATTATAGTCAAAGGAAATAATTAGCTTGATAAAAATGATAATTATCTATTTATAGTTAGTTGAACCCGAATATGACCTGACTTGGAAATGACCTGACCTGATTGTAACCTGCAAATTATTGACTTGAACATAACCCGACTTGAATCCGAGAATGACCCGACTTGGAAATGACCCAGCCTGATTATAACACGCAAATTATTGACTTGAACCGAACCCGAATTGAACCCAAGAATGACCCGACTTGAAAATGACTCCACCTTATTATAATTAGAAAATTATTGACTTGAACCGAACCCGACTTGAACCCAAGAATGACCCGACTTGAAAATGACTCCACCTGATTATAATCCGCAAATTATTGACTTGAACCGAACCCGACTCCAATCCGAGAATGACCCGACTTGATTCTAACCCGCAAATATTGACTTGAACCAAACCCGACTCGAACCCGAGAATTACCCTTACCCGTTTTAACCCGTGAAAACCTGAATTAAACCCGACCTATTGTTCACCCGACCCGAATGTAACCCGACCTGTTATTAACCCGACCCAAATTTGATAAGAAGTATGACACGACGTGATCCGACTCAAGCATGACCCAACCCAAACCCGACCCGCATAAGTTATGGAATCAATCTGAATTGACCCGACCCGAGTTGACCCGACTCACTCTTACCCGACCCCTTTACTCGAATTGGCAGCTCTAGTAGGTAGCAAATATAATGACAAATAACATGAGTCGAAAGATTGCTCACTCTTATACAACCCAGTTTTAATGGTCCGATCCGAATTGGATCGCCATCTCTAACTTAAATGCCGCTAATTAACCAATCATACAATTTAATCAGAAACTATTTTAACATTATAGCAGATACTAACAAAAATGGATCCGTGGCGCAATGGTAGCGCGTCTGACTCCAGATCAGAAGGTTGCGTGTTCGATTCACGTCGGGTTCAATCCCCCGATCCATACACGGATATTTTTTTTCCCTTTTTTTAATCAAGGAAATGTAATTTTTGTATAATTAGAATAAACTACATATACATTTATTTATTTATTTTGACAATAAACTACATATACATTGGTCCATTGATTTACAATTTTACATCATACGAACCATGTAAGTGAAGGTATGCACACACAAATACTTCAAGCCTAGGATGAGTGACACAAGCACCATAGCAACACTCGCCGCCGGCTCATTCTTGGTCTAATGGCTAACAGAGCACAATACGAGTCATTTGAATGCATTCAGTAATCTCATTTAATAGAGGTTTGCTAAAGATAGAATAAGGTTAAAGTGTTAAAACCTTTTAGAAACAAAAAGAAGCGGAAAGTGTTTTAGATTATTTAGGAACGGAGGTGGTAGAAATTGAACACCAAACAAACAACAACTAATAACAAATCAAACCTTGAAATATAATGAAAGAAATCAAGTGGTAAACCTGAAGCAGCTAATATGATGAATACTAACATGCCAGCATTAAGTTGGCCCAACATGTTTAATTTGAGTTTAATTTACTCTAATTTAGGAGGGAAGTTTGAATTAATAGGTGGATTAAACTTTGGTTCCCTTGAGCCTTGACCCATTATTTATACTATGGAATTATTTTTGCGTGTACGATTGTACGTACTATATTCTTGTATTTAAAGCAACATTTTTGACGTGTTTATTTGATGTTCCTGAAATACATGCAATTTATACGGGGGAATTTCTTACGAAAATTATAAAACTTTAATTCCCGCGTATTAGCCAATGGTAGATGGCTAGTGATCCAAAAGTTCAAACAAACATCTATCAATAATCAAAATTTAGTAGTATAATTTGAATTGAATTTTTTTAATTTATACAGATTACAGGCAACCGTTTTTACAGTAATGGACAGAAAGAGTCTTCTAAGTTCTAACGGGTGCAGAAATTATTTACTTATTCCGAATAAAATAAGTACATACGAGTAATTTTTTTAAAATAAATAATCAATTCATGCTTTATATCATACTCGTACTAAATTATTGCTTATTGTGTGTAGCAAGCAAAACTTGGTTACCTAATGACAAGGGTTAGGTCTCGTAATTTATAATGTCATGAAATAAGTTTGATGCTTTATTGAAGTAACTCCTATCCCTTATCCTTCACTTCTAACAAGTTTATAGTGTAAATTTGATTAGATTGTTAATTAAGAGGTATGGTCGATATGGTGTAAATTTAGTAGAATCTTTTAATGTAACGGATTGTTGGAACAAATTAAAGACAGGTTTCAATCAAACGAAAGTGCGTGGCAGCATCTATTCATACCAATAATTGACATAATAAATTAATTTGAAAGTCAAATGAGTTGATTGTCAAGGGTCAGTCTTAAATTGGAAGAAAAGAGGGGCATGCATTCGTAACTTTTAGATAAAATTTCAAAGATTTCATTAACTTAAGAGGATAACCGTGTGTTCTTATATTAGTCCTTGCATTTGTCGTCGCCAAAGTTTAGAACTACAAGACTAGACTCTGATTGAGCCTATCGGTCCAAGACCGGACCGACCTGGAATGGAGTGAAGACCGAAAATTAGAATTTTAAGAACCGAAGACCGGACCGATTAAGTTAGGAGTGAACCCGGACCGGACCGAAAGAATCGGTCCAAAACCCAAACTGGACCGCTTTGGACCGATTTAAGGATTTTTTAAAAAAGAATACTAAAATTTTAATAAAGTTAAGGAAAACACAAAAAAAAGTATTGGAAAAGCTATATTGTAACGTCATTTTTACGTCTTTTTTGTATGTTTAGTGCAAAATAGCTTATAAAGTTAAAGTTTACTAAGCGGATAATTTTAACCATTATTTAAGGTTTCACACATATTTTTAATAAAAAAATCAGTCCGGTCCAAAATCGGTTTTTTATAGGGTTTTGGACCGGACCGGACCGAAGACCAGAAAATGAATTTCAAGACCCGAAGACCGGACCAATTAATTCGGTTCGGTCCGAGGTGGTACGGTCCATTTTTTCGGTGCGGACCGATTTATGAACACCCCTAGAGCCCATAACAACCTAGCTAGTCATTATGGTTAAGAAAAATAGGAGTTAAGACCTATCACTTTTCACTTTGTAAAAAAAAAAACCGTATAGACAATCTTTACAATTTATAACTATGATATATTTATATTTAATTATATGAAGGAAATGTAATTAAAGTTGAAGGACATACATTATGTATATCTATATATCCTTGTGCACCTTATTATTACAGTAAAGTATTTACCCCTTTACCCCATTTTATTACAAAAGACAAGCACACATGAGTAAAGACTAGGGGAAGGTGGTGTTGATTTATAGTCATACATAACTTAAAAGGCTCAAGCACACACAAACACCCTAAGCGTCGGATGAGGGACACAGGCACCAGAGCAACACTGTTCTGGAGGTCCGTCACCGGAACACACATCGCCCGACGGCATACAATCATAGTCATCTTTCGGCATCATGATCAGTTGCTGGCTTGAGTCTAGGCTTTTTTCATCTTCATAGATGGAATAAACTCCTTTTTCATCAACTCCTTCTATAATGCTTGTTGGTTGTAACTTTGCATGAACGGCAACTATATATATTTATGGTAGAAAATTAAATAGCCACAAAAAATTAGCTTGTTAATTATATATACATAAAATATACACATACTTATTTTTATCATGCCTCCTTGATCCCTAAGTGCAATTTGTCTAATTAGAATCATGAAATTATGTATTTGATGAGTGATTAACAAAGATACTAATACGAGTATTACATTATTACTTTATTTCATATGCATGTTTGGCCAATTGGCAAACTTAATTATTTAATATGGAGTAATAAAAACAGCTGTTACATAATAATAATAATAATAATAATAATAATTAATAATAGTTGTTAGAAGATTATGTTCAAGTGAACGTTTCTACATGTACCTCCAAAAGTTACCTCTTTTCTACTCCGTACTTTATAGTTACTAGTCAACTAGCGTATTTATATAATACATTTTTTTTCTTACATGATAAGATCAAATGGGCCCCAACTAAAGGCTCCTTTCATAGAAAACCTAGCTGACAATGCCCTAGAAGGGTAGAGGCTGGGATTTATTGCCGATGAGGATCGAACCTCATACCTCAAGTAAGCGAGGCGACCTCTTGTGTCCCTGCACCAAGAGGTCTCCCTATTATCCAAATAATCCTGGTAGTCTGGTAAAGTCGAATTTTCAACATGGCAATTGTTACACCTTTTATAAAGTGCAAACTACAAGTTCAATCTATTACGAGTCTACAATATGCTTAAGCATGTGAAGACTTGAAATCCAAAAATAATTATTGAGGACCACACAAACTGGTATAATAGCTTATAATTAATTAACAATAATTAAAACTTCCATTAACACCATAACGATAACGATGAAATGAAGCAAACCTGAAGCAATAAGCGTAAGAAAGGCTAAGATGGCAAGTTTACGTCGGCCCAACATGTTGTGAGTTTTGATCTCTACGCAACAAAGTACGAATTAATGAGCTTAATTAAGAAGTTGATAAACTTTGCTCATTTGCTTCATGCCTTTGCTAACACTCTTATAGTCTTGTACTAGTCTATACCTAGAGTTTTACGTTGATCGAAAGCTACTTGTTTGTCGTGGTATAATAATTTCAAGTATTAGGTGCTAAAATAATATTTCCATCATATAAGATATTGATCATTTTACCGGTTAATTTGTACTATATGCGAGTTGTTAGGTATGATGTCAATTACTACGTATTTTAAAAAAGAAAAAATTTTAGTCGTAGTACAAAAGTTAAACTGTTGCAACTAGATATAAACAATTAGTAGAAAGTTATAATTGATGAAACTCGTTTAAGTTGTTTTACAATAATAATGAACTTTATGGCCCTTATACTACTAAACCAAGTTTTAACGAGAATAACTTCCAACTAGTCATATTTAATTCATTTTAAAAAAAATTTAAAAAAAAAAAGTTTCAGCTAGAATAAGTTTTCAATAAAAATTTGAGTTAGAATAGCAAAATTAACACTCATGACCCATCGAGTCCATCAAGAGCCAAGTGAAGTTGATTATACTAATCTCGATGTGTAGTTGGATTATTCAAAAGAATTCTGATTGATCAGCTAGTGTCAGTCTTGAGAAACAATATGTCCTATTCTCTGTTCTGTAGTATAAACCAGCATAAAATAAGAGTAATTCATAAATCAACGAGATAAGGTTGGGAGAAAGTAAACAATCACCATTCTAGATTTCTATCCATGAAATTGTACTCTTTTGATTAATTTATAAGATGTACATGTACCTATCATTTAAGCTGCTGCATGTTAGGCATTAATGCTTAAATACCAACAGATAAGCTTCACCCGAGTAAAGAGCACAATTACTCCCTAAACTTAGCTAAAAGTTGCAGTTAGCTCACTAAACTTTCAAAAGTTGTAAGTTACTCACTATAACCTCTTGTGACCTTAATTTACAGGTTAATTGGTAGAACTCCCTAAAATTTTGACATAAAAGTTAGTGCACACCCTAAACTTTCCTATAACTCCCTAAACTTCCTCACATAATTTTAAATTAATTAGCCATTTAATTATAAAAAAGTATTATTTTAAAAAATTCTAACAACAGCTATATATATACTCTAATGCATTTTCGATACTATGTTATTATTTTGTAAAATAGATAATGATGAAAAAAAAGAAATTGAATTATTCTGTAAAAATGAAAAAATGGCTACTTAGCAAAGTCTTTTTTTTTTGAATAAATAGTTAATTCTAGTTTTTTTTTTTTTTTTTTTTTTGAGGGGATAGCTAATTCTAGTTTGCCTTCCTTTAAATAATTATTTTTAGTTTGGTTTAACTCTTGTGAAAAAAAATCCCCTTAATATAATACGAAGTACATAATAGTGACAAAACATTGGCTATTTATATAATTTAATTCCATCTATTCAAAAAAAAAAATTAATTCCATAACTAGCTAAAATATTGATTTGGAAGGAAGTTATTTATTTATTTATTTTTATTCATCTCTTTTGAATTGGTTTAGTTCAATTTTTTTTTTGGTTTTTTTATTTATATTTTGGTTTTTTTAAAAAAAAAAAATTATGTTTTTGGGCTTTTTAGTTAGAAAACTTTATAGCCACGTACTAATATAAGTAAACAACCGTTATTAAGAAACCCTAATTTCAACTTCACAAAAAATTCTAAACTTTCTTCTTGATCATGATCGTATCACAAAAAATTGGTTTTTTTTTTATTATTATTTTTTTATATCAACACACGCAGCTGCAAATTCTTACGATGATCTGATAAGGGGTTTTTTTTTAGGGAGACGATAAGGGATTTTTAGTACTATGTTCTATGTTGAAGTCTGCTAATTATAAATTTTGTTGAGTTTAATGTGTATAATAAATCAAACATTCAAACTAATAACTACTCGTATGTGATATATAATGGCACAGAATGAATATGCTCATCTTGTTCAAAGAACAATTTGATTCTTGATTGTTTGATTTGGTAAGCCATTCTTTCTACTATGGTGTTAATGTATATGGATCATCTAATTAAAAAAATAAAAAATAAAAAAAACGAACCAAATTAGTGCAAAGGAAAAGATTTTGTCCAAGTAAAAAAAATTTGTTAGTTTTAGAATTTAAATTTAGAGTTCTCATTGGCTTTCAAATGTATGATTAGATTGTTATTTCCGTTCAAAAAAAAAAAAAGATTGTTATTTGTTAAATTAAAAAATATTTAACAAAAAAAAAAAGAAAAGAAAAAACCAAAGTTTAAGGAGTTTACATATTAGTACAATAGTTTAGGCAAAGTTTAGGGAGTTAACCTGCTATATCAGGTTGCTACCTGAAAAATGACCTCCAACCATCTAAGTATTGAGTAACTTGCAACTTTTAAGAGTTTAGTGAGTGAATTGCAACTTTTGGCTAAATTTAGGGAGTAGTTGTATGCTTTACTCGCTTCACCCAGTATTTTGGAAATTGGCGCGATCAATGAGCCACAAGGGGTTTTCCCTGCTAGATAGGGAATAACATAAGGGCGTTTTAGCTTTTATTAGGTTATTGAGCTCCCCAACTAACGACGGTCCATAGGAATAACATAAGGGCATTTTTGCTCTCATATGGTCGACCCATTGTCTAATAGCAGAGGTCTCAATAGGTCTAACCTTGTACGGATTCTGGATGTTAAAGTACGACCTTCCATACTTTAATATCCCCTTGTTACCCAATACTCACTTGATGCCTACTATCAATGAGTTACAACATAGGTTCATAAGTGCGTTGATTGGGGCTATTATATGGAATTGCAGGAAATTGCGACGAACTAAATATTCGAATTCTATTCAGAACATATCGAAATCAGATGCAGAAGCACAGGATTTTCCAAAAGGAACATCACATATCCAGAATGGTGGCCAAAACAAAAGCTAAATTTTGAGTAGCCAGAACATAGTTTTCTTTTCAAAAAATATAAATATCTACATACTAAATCAAGATATCATAATACTCACAAACTTATTAAGTAATACAAACCAAAAACTTAAAAGATCAAACACAACATAACCCCTTTAAACATAACCAAAAACAATTGGTTTGCAAGAAAGGTCACAACTTTTATACTCAAATTCAGCTACAAATCTACTCATTTACTACTACTACTAGCTAGAGTATGTTCTTGATAACAAACACAAGGGAATTCGAATTCTTCTTAGCTTAATCGATCTTGATCATGAGCTAAAACCACGAATCGAATAGAAGCAACCAAGTTAATTGAATTCATTCATTCATTCTACCTCCATTACTTTAACCTTCTTTTGCTTCTTAAACCCTTGAACAAAAGCATTAACAATATTGTGTTGAGCTTCAAGTATCATTTGAGTCCTCTTCATCTCCATTTCCATCCACTTCATCTCCATCTCTTGCATCATCTCCATCTTCTCCTTCTCCGTCCTCACCAACGCTTCTCCCAACATCTTTATCGACACCACCATCTCCCCAGCCGCGGCATCCCTTCCTCCTCCTCTCGCCCTCGATCCCGCCCCCGCCCCCGCCCCTGAACCCAACCCGAATCCCTTCTTCGATGAACATCCATTCAAAAACATCTTCGACGACGATGAATCCTCACCCAATTTCCTCTTATTAAACCCAGATGCAAAATTACTCCTCCCATTCTTATAATCAAACCCACTACCATTATTTCCACCATCATAATCATACCCTTCATCAAAATACCTCTCATTGTTATTATTATTATTGTTATTACTACAATTCCCATGATTCTTAACCCTAAATTTAATCGGACCTCCACTTCCACTCCCACTTTTACCCATACCCATCAAAATCTCATCAAAATACTTCCCTAAATCATCTTTTCCCCTAATTTTTTCCTCTTTTACAAAACCCCCATTATTATTCTGAAAATTCTCTTTTACTGGGTTCAAAACATTCATATTCATATTATGATTATTACCACCATTATTAACCCCATTATTATTAACAACAGTAGTAGATCCAGGACCAGACCCAGATCCAACCTCCATAGCATCCATCAAATCAAAAAAAACCCAGGAAGAAGAAGGAAAAAATCGATTACCCACAAAATTATTATGCGAAGGAAGAGCCCCAATCCTCTGTTTCTCAGCACGATACCTCTTACGAAGCTTCTCCATCTTATGTCGGCACTGAGCAGACGACTTCGGCGGCGATTGATCGGGGCACCTCCGATTAACCTCATCAGCAACAGCTTCCCAATCGGCAGTCCTGAGATTCCGGCGACGAAGAGAATACCATTTATCTTGGTAAGAATGAATCAAAGCTAGGGTTTCATCTTGGGTCCAACAAGGAGCCGGAAACTTCCGGACAACGGGAGGAGGAGGTGGGTTTTCCGGCACCGGAGAAGGGTCGGCGGCGGAGGCGGGAGGAGGGGAGGGCATAATGGGAAAATTGAGGGGAGGAAGAGAGAGAAAAAGGAGGAGAGAGAAAGAGAGAGAGAGTGAGAAGAGGTGGTTGAGAGGAAGGAGGCATTAGATTTGAGGGGGAGAAAAAAGAGGAGAGAGAAAGATAGGTAAGGCCACCGGGTGAGTGGGTGGAGGGTGGAAGGTGGGGGGTGATGCTAACGTGCGCAGCGGGTGATGGGAGAGGAGGTGGGAGAGTTACACGTAAGAGAAAGGTGAAGGGTAACTTGGAGGTTACCGGTTATAAAAATAAATAAATGTTATTATGCCACCGTCACTTGGGTTGGGTTGAAGTTGGTTTAATTTAGGCCTACCACTACCACCTTCTCTCTCTTTCTTTCTTTCTCTCTCCTCCCCCACAACCAACTTAACTTAACCACCTCTTTCTCTCTCCTCTAATTATCATTTTTTTTAGAAGATCTTAATCTTATTCTTTGGGGTTGGGCCTTCGTTATTATGAGTAGTATGTGTTATTTTGTTTGGGTTGAAGATTGTGTAAGGGGAAATTACATCTTGTATTTGTCATGGTTTTTAATGTTTTGGAACCGGGTTGTTTAGGGCGCTCTTGTTTATCTATAAGTAAGGTTGTTAGGGCATATTCTGATATGCTAAGCTGAACTAAATAGAGCTAAACTGAATTGTTTATGAGAGAAAGAAATTAGAAACTGAAATGAAATAAAGTGAATTTAAATTAAGCTGAAGAGAACAGATCCTTAGTGTGTTATACATTATGTGAAGTGGCAACGGAGTGTGTGATTGAGGATTGTAATGACGACGACCAAGCTAATCAAGGCCAATGTCTATTGAGTTTGGTGTATTGAAGTGTATGTGATAACGTATGTGAACGCGAACAATTCACAAGCACTAGTAGAATAAAGTGAAGTTGATCAGAAGATCACAAGACATATCAATTTAGGAAATTAGAGAAAATCATAAGACTTGTCAAGCTGGAAAATAATATCGAAGGCATTCAGTTTTCACTATGAATTTAGGACTTAACTAATCCTTAGCCTTACTTGTAAATTAATAGTCAATCTCTTCCTAAATTATTAACACATTTGACTTTTTCACCATTAATGCACTCACTTTGACCATCGTTTTTTAATATAGTACTTTATATTTTTTAAAAAAAAAAAATTATCATGAAATATATTATTAAGTATGTATTTACATTCCGTTCAAAAAAAAGTATGTATTTACATTAAGTTTCACATCATCAAATTTTTTGATACTTACTTTTATACAGATGCTGCATGGCTATATTTTTTTTTACTAATATTTAATTATATATATTTAAAATTAATTTAATATGTATCAATTATATAAAAACAGATGGATTATTAAATGAATATTGTTGGTTTGGTCTTGCTGGTAAACTCTTAACATAAAATTGCATGGTTGTTAAATACATGCTCCCCCACCCCACCAACAAAAATTAAAAAATTGCCCTTTTCATCTTTTTCCCCTTTTCTTCTACTGAATTGAAGTACTTGAATTAAATTTCGTTCAATACCATTGCCTTAAAATTCATAACAAAATCCTTGATTCACAGGGCACTAATGCAGGGAGAATCAAGGTTGGCCTAGTGGTTGGAGGCCCTCTTTTCACCCCTGTAAGAGGGGTTTGATTCTCATCCAAAACAAGTGAGATTTCTAATTTTCCCCTCGCTTGTAAGAGATTTCTTCTTAAATAAAAAAAGCACTAATGTACTTAGTGAGGTACAGATTGCGCGGGACCAATCTTGATGACGTAACTCTCCCGAGGGACTAGAAAATACCCAAAATACATTATTTCAATATAAATGCATCAAGTAAATATGTTCCATTCAATTTGCATAAATGATAGCATACGTTTCATTCCATCAGCTTATAGGAGTATTTTTTTTTTTTGGGTTTTTCTATATAGTAACCCTGTTTTTTTCACTTTTCTACATTGTGCCCTAACATATATCACTTTCTACACTGTAACCCCAATATATTTTTTGTTTCCATACGGTAACATTGTTGTTATCCTGCTGTTAAAAAATTCCGTTAGTGGGACCAACTCTCCATTATTTAGTTTTTTTTATCGAGTTGCGCGTTGAAAAATACTCCGTCAAAGGTTTCGGGGGCTATTTTGGTTCTTAGGGGACTAAATTGAGCTCAGATTTGGCAAAAAAATAACGTAAATGCCTCGTTTTGCTTATTAAAAAATGTCTCGATTTACGTGTTCACATTTTAACACACAAAACGAAACATTTACGTTATTTTTTTGCCAAATCTGGGTTCAATGTGGTCCCCTAAGAACCAAAATAGCCCTTTAAACCTTTGACGGAGTATTTTTCAATGCGCAAATCGATAAAAAAATATTAATAAAGGAGAGTGGGCCCCACTAACGGAACTTTTCAACGGCAAGGTTACCGTGTGGAAACAAAAAATATATTGGGATTACAGTGTAGAAAGTGATATATGTTGGGGCACAACGTAGAAAAGTGAAAAAAACAAGATTACTATATAGAAAAACCTTTTTTTTTTTTTTCCAAAGTATCCCAGAAAGGCAAAAATCCAAACATGCTTCATAGTTTCATGTACCAGTTTTCAGTTTTCAGATACCAATAGTCATGAATTTTGTTAAAAAAAAGATGCATGAGGCCAATGCTTTAATGAGATGCAAGCCCAACTATTGCTAATAAGATGGGCCCCGTAGCTTAACGATTTCAAAGTTTAAACCCAACGTAGCCAACAATTACAAGTCTATATTCTTCTAATTCTCAAATTGGCAAAATTATCAAAAATACCGTATTTTTAAGTCAACTAGCCTTCTGTCCCGTGTAATACACGGCTTGTTCATAGAAAATTGCATTGAGAAATGAGTGAGGAAATACCAATAAATAATTATGAGTGTAATATGTAACTGAAAACATAATTAAAGAAATAAAAATTTTGAGACTTTAATTTAAAATGAGACTTAATAGAAAGAAGATGGAGGGACTAAAATCAATGAGAGAAAATAAAAAGGTTGAATTAAGGAGGGGAGATGAAAATAAAGTGATTAGAGTTAAGAAGAATCGTATAATTAAAAATAAAAAATATAAAACGACATGTGGCACATTGAGTTGAAGAAGATGATAGGGAAGTGTAATAGAATGATGACATATGTCTTTCTTGATTTGCTTTTTTAAATACTAAAGTGTAGATTTGTGAACTAGTACCTTATGTTATTTTATTTTTGTCAACTAATACCTTAAATTAAATTGTATTTTAAAAATGGCACCTCAGTGACAGTTTCCGACCAAAAGATAAGTTTTCGACATTTGGCTTTCAATCTCCCTCCATCTTTGTGCGCGTGTGATGCACTCGAAGAGGGTAGAGTTAGGCTATAAATGATTTGAATTTCCTACTTATACTTGGATGACTCTCACAAGCTCCAAGGTATTTTTTTACAATTTTACCTCCCTTATTTAGCTATTTTACTACGGAGTAATTGTTTTTTATTAGAAGGAGGGGTGATGAAAGGAGATTTTGGAATATTTGAAAGTTTTTTTTTTTTAATTTAGCTATTATTTTTTTTTCCATTTTCCACATCATCTTGGTTAAATTCCTTTCAACTTCCCTTTATGTAATATGTATTAATTTTGTTTTCAATAATATAGAGTACGAGTAATAAAATTTCACCTTATAGCACGTTGTAAATTAGAGAAAATTAGTTATATTAGCTAGTTATTTAGCATAATACGTGGCAAAAAAAAACATCTATATTTTATAGTATTTGCACATTTTCTAATTGTTAGAGCACCCACAATAGAGGAAATTAATAACTTTGGCAACTTTTTTCTTTTCCTTGCTTCTCCTTAGAGAAGCACAAGTGCTCTTTGAAACATGAAAGGGTGAGGGCAAAACAATAATATCTCTTTTTGACTCTTGAGTCATCTCTACTTTAAATAAATACGAAGTATATCTTATTTTCTATTCAATCATATTACCTTTTCTTTTCTTTACGATGTGATACTGTGAAGTATATATATATACATATGTAACAACTATACTAGATATTTGTCTCTACCGATATTAAACTTCTCAAGCGACCATGCCTATTCTTTACACGTGGTAGGAATCGGACCCTAGAAGAAAACGACCTAGTGATCAAGCCAACTAGGCGTTTAAGGTGCTTCATTCAACCACGAATGCAGTACGTAATGTCAATGCAAAATTGGCACATTGGAAGGAAATTAAAGTTGATCCTATGAAAGACCATAAAAAGGAAGAGTATGTGTATATTAGTGAGCATCAAAAGAGAATCAAGACGAAGATGCATGGATGGGAATTGAACAAACCCACTACTAATGGCTTTCATTTAGCTTCTTTAACTGTCACTTCATATATAGCCCACTAGTATGTTTAACATCAACTCCAAATCAAAGTCAAAGTCAAAGCCAAGTAAAAGAATTTGGGTCCATAAAAAGTCAAAATTAATTAAATAAAAAGAAAAGGAGAAGAAAAAGAAAAAGAAAATTGAAATATACTACACTTTTCTTTTTTAAGGAAAGAAAAATTAGACTTTAAGAGGCAAATTAACTTGTTAAGGATGATTAGTTTGTTATAGAGATGCATTTGTATTGATCATTCTTTAATGGGTGCAACAAATTTTGATGTGCAAGCGTAACGAAAATTTGCAAAAGGAATATTGGTATAATACAGTACAAAAATATTACTCGTACTAGTATATCTTTACATAACTATTATAACTTATAGAGTAGAATTTATAAAATTTAGGAATGAATAGAAGTATGAAATCAACATATAGATCATCATAATTTATTATCTGGAGTATTTATTTATATGAGACATTACAATAACTAATTCTAAATTTTCAATAACTTGGCCACAATAAGTACATATTAGGATATTACTACAGAAATTGAAAATTGAAATCAGAACTTTGAAAAGTATGATGTAATTCATCCAATTTGCATTTACAATTACAAAGTAAAGATGAAGATAATTTGAAGCAACACTATCAAACTTCTTTGAGTTGCATCTTAATATAAGGGGATCTAGCTAACTTATGAAAGAGTGGGTTTCTACTGCAATTGCTCGAAATTAACACCACTCATAAATCATTACAAGTAAAGAAAAAAAAAGACATTGAAGAACTATCAACCAAGTTATAATTGTTGTTGGATATCAAGTTTTCTTTCCTGGGAAATTCCAAAGTTCGCGCTCAATCCATTCTCGGCTACCATCTCCATTTCCATTTCCTCAGCGCGGTAAGTTGAGTGAACACCATATAGTACGTAAAATAAAATTATCAAACCTGTCCAAATACCAAACCTTTTAAATGACAAGATCTTCAAGGTTGTCATAAGGAAAACATTGAGAAAAATCGATGTAGCAGCAGGCCATGGCATCAGAGGCATAGACCACTCGAGGTCCTGCCTACTTGAAGGGATCATGTAGTGGAAGATAGCGGTAATGGTGATCAAGGACCCGGCAAACAATGGAAGTCCCCATAATCGTTGCTCAAACTTCCATGATAAAGAGAAACCAACAGAAAGTAATGTGAGGAAGAAGAGGAACAGAAGGATATGTAGTGGTGGGTTGCTGCCTACTATAACATAGCGCCTATATATAAGAGCATTCGCCACCAGATAAAAAACAAGGAGTGTGCCAATGGATATTATCTCGAGCACTATGTCAAGTTCAGTGAAGAGGGCAATTGATGCAGTACAGAATCCTATAATGGAAAACAGAAAGAGAAGTTGCATTTAATATAAACTTTTAAATGTTCAAAACCAATAGAATAATGCAATAGGGTTCCACCAAATAATCCAAGCTCATACTTAATCCCACAAATTATCAGAAGGCAATTCTGGGTTAGTCATTAAACTGAAAACAGCTTACTTTATCAATTACTCGTATTATGTTATAGTCGTTAAAATTTTTACGCATGACATCTGTAAAAAATGAAACCAAGAGATCAGTGAGCGACCATATAAAAGATTAACTCACCCAAGAATAGAGTAGCATTCAAGGGTGTTCCCGTTGAAGGATGAACCTTAGCTAACCACGCAGGCACGAGCCTGGCTCTTGCAATCACACAGAGGTATCTTGCCTGGCCAAGCATGGCCACCAAAAGGGATGCCATAATTCCTAAACTTGCACCCACTCCAACAAGATGACTTGCCCATTTCCAACCCAACTTTTGAAAAGCCATTGCAAATGAAGCCTTATCTGCTATCTACATGAATATAATCATGGAGTAAGTACACCTTTTTTTCCCCCCTTGAACCTACAACGATTGCACTAAGACATGCAGAAACTCTATATAATGAGCTCGTATCCATGTAACAATACCTTTGATTAAATTGTGACAACAAGAATACCTTAATAACAATCTGATTCAATCATTGTATTTAGACCTTAACTAATCGATTAAGGTAGAGGTATATTTTTGAGACTCAGGTTTGAATCTCTCTTTTTTGCTTCCATCTATCATTCAGTGTACTAAACTGTATGACTCCCTTCGTCACAGCTCAAGATTAGCTGGTTATGGAGGGGTAAAGAAGGGAAAAAGGCAAGGGTGGGTGTATGTGGATCTCAATGACGAAGTAAATGTAGAGAAGAAAAATGGATAAAGGTAGATTATTTGAGTAGGGACATATTTATGGGAAAACCCGGGGCTGGGACGGAAGGTTTATTTTGTTGATTGTTATTCTCATCTATGAGGCTCCTATGAATTGCAAAAGAAAGCATAAAACATGAAAATATTAGTACCTCATTATATGGAACCATAACACACAAGGCCAATCCCATAAGACAATAGAGGAATGAAACAATGACAACAGACCCCACGATGCCCATTGGCAGGTCTCTGGAAGGGCTTCTGATTTCTTCAGCAAGGGTTGAAACGGAATCATAGCCAATATAGCTGAAATAAACAATGGCTGCTCCATCAACAACACCTTTAGCACCAAACGGAGCCAATCCTCCTGGAGAGCTTACCAAGTTCTTCGGATCCCCAATTAGAAAACCAGCAATTATTATAAACCCGAAGAAGATAACATGGAATATTGTCATAGCAAGGTTCAATATCGAGCTTTCCTTGGTGCTGCAATATGGCCATCAACTTGTCATAATTAGAAAAGAAATTAATAGATAAACCTTCTGATCACTACTCTACTGCATAACAAATGAACAAACATCAGGCACTATACAGAATATGATTATGATATCAATAATTAAATAAAGACATCCTTGAACCAATGTCAATCGGTTATTATCATATTTTTCAAGGCAATTTCTTCTGCTGCCTTTGAGGTTCAATATTTATGACACAAGCATGTTATACTAGGAAGCAATAACTTTTTTTTTTTTTTTTGATAATCAAGCAATAACTAAAACTAACTAGTTAAAAAAATATATATATACCTATGACACAAGAATAGAGTCAACAGAAGAATAAGAGCAACAGCTGAGAAATCCAGCATGTTATAACCTTTAACAAACCCATGCATCTCAATCCTCCATGAGTTGGGATCTTCCACTCCAAATGTGCCGCTTAAATATTCAGTAAAACTTCTAGCAACCGCAGCATTTGATAGCACGTATTCCATCAATATATTTGCACCAGCTAAGTATCCCACAAACTCCCCTATGCATCAATGGGACAAAAGGTGCAAAAAAAGTGAGAAAAGGTCTTTTGAGGGCCATAGGAAGGTGAAGTTATCACCACAAAGAAAGAAATCATGACAGGGCCTATAAAGCACAAGGAAAGTTGACTTTTAAATTTTCATACCAAAGGTCACTCTCAGATAACTGAAAGCACCCCCAGCAACAGGAACCGCGATGGAGAACTCTGTGTAACACATGGAAGAGAGGAGGGCCGATATGCCAGCAATAATGTAGGATATAAAAACAGCAGGGCCAGATATAGTCCGAGCCACATGACCAGTGGTGACAAAAACTCCAACTCCGAGCATTCCTCCTAGACCAAGAGCAACTAAATCGAACAAAGAGAGCTTTCTTTTCATGTCTGCACCAGACCTCAGCCTCACTTGATTCAGTTCCTGATCTGGAGTCCATGTAGCTAACAACCTCCTCCTAAGCTTATAAGGTGTTTGAGAAAGGGAGTTCAGGTAGTTACAAAAGCAAATGTTGCTCGGAGGGTTCAGATTGTTTTCCATTATTTCGAACTGATCAAAAATTCCTAGTGTTTTGGCTTCTATGAAGTTGAAGCAAGCTAATGTGTACATAAATATAATGTATGCTTCTAACCATATATATATATATATATATATATATATATATATATAAAGATAAGAAAAAGAGAAAAGACAGAAGGGTTCTTTTTTAAAGGTTAAGAAAACAATATAGGTAAGAGACTGTTGGTTTATAGGAAATGCATAGTGGTCCACTTTCAACTGGTCCTAAATTGTTAAAAATAAATCTCATAAACCTTCCCCCCAAAAAAGCTTTCTCTGGACCCAACAGCTTGAAAGAGATTTGTTAAGAGAGAAGCATGCATCAAATGTGAAAATAAAATCAAATATTTTGAGTAAGACCTTGCTAAGGGAATCACAAACTGCCTTTCACCCGATCTTTAGGAATTTTCTCATCACAAAAGCATCAAAGCCTTTTCCTAAAGCAAAATAAAGATTATCTAAAAAAAGACTTAATTAAAAGAGCATGAGTTGATTCGTATGCCAATATATATATAATAATGTAGTAGTCATTTATGCTTACAGTGTACTGCATGCCTTGTAAATCCACCTGAACGAATATAGAACCAATAACTGTATCTACTATCAAGATAAATACATCTAACAATATAATATATAAATCACCATTAATTTTTGTTCCAATTAATATTAGACAGTTTAGATACAAGTACATATTCCAAATTTCCAATCACTCAGCATATCTTACCTTAAATCTGAATTATCAATTGCATTTTATAAAAAAAAAAAAAAAAAAAAAAAAAAAAAAAAAAAAACACAATAAAGATAATGGAAAACGCAATGTAATTTGGGGGAAAAAAAAAAGGAAATACAGATAAAAACAAAAACAATTTCATAAGAAACAACATTTGGATTCCTAAAATGGCACAAAAAATATAATTTCAGAAGTCAATTTGTAAAAGAAAATATAAAAAAATATAACATTTTATATTATAATAGTTCACAAGTGATGCCATCATCAGAAATGTGTCTTTATGATATAATGCCTATAGGCTATAGCCCTTAGGGAATGGATATACCCTTGATTAAAAGAAACCTAGATTGAATAATATAACCCTTTATTTCGAGGGTACATCAGTACATGCAGTCAACAAGGAGAAATTGTGCCAAACTATCAATTAGGCAGTTTAACTGTAATGTTTTTCAGTTTCTGTACAAGGGATATCATTAACATAAACTGTAGTTCAGAAACTGTTTACTCGTACCAAGAGGAAAAGTCCACATCAACACAAGTTGGAGTTAACTAACTATACATGATCACCAAAAAAAATACTTAATTCCTTCTATTATAGGCTTTCTTTCGGGAGAATCATATCCGAATAATGTTAACAGCCATTAAAAATAGGAGGAACCTGATAAGTCCTGATTAGAGCGGGGCCTCAAAGAGTTATTTACTCAAAATCAATCTGCAATATCCCGCCATTTTAGGTTTTTGTGCTTCATCATTAAATATGATTCCACTATATTTCTTGACAACAACCCCACTCACCCATATAAAAAAAAACCAAAAAAAAAAAACAAGAAAACTATAGAGCAGAAACTCCAAGAAAGTGTACAAAATGGTATGTGAATATGTGATACACTCTCTTACAAAAAAAGAAAAAAAGAGGGTAACTTCTCTCTATGAGGTTTAAGAATTTACTTGCCACGAACACTCACTTGACCTTTTTGACTAAAGAGAGGCCAAAGGGCCCAGAGAACACTAATTCTGAGATGCAGAACAGAGCGTGATAATATGAAAGCTATACCTAGCTGGAAAGTGTGAGGCACAATGAACATAAAGCCTGTTTGTGCGGGAGTATGTGATACCCCCCAACAAACTTAGAAAGAAGAAAGGGATTAAGGTTCTTCTAAGGTTTGAGGATTTAATAAACGAGTACTTGAGTGGTGAGAATAAAAGACCTTTAGGTTAGTTGCTCCTCAACTCAAAGCATGACAGACATAAGTGGTTCATGGCTATATAAAGCTTCAAATATCATTCTAGGGGATGACGAGTAATTGACTATCTCAACCTCTACACCAATTTTGCTACTATGAGCATAAGCAAGCTGAAGAAGGTGCACCACCTCATGAGAGAAAGGGGAAGGTACTTAAGTGGTCACCATATTTCTCAGTCTAATAATCATTGATACATTCAAAAAGTCATGAAATGATGAAATTCAGCCCTACGTAGTGAGGTATTCCTTCAAGGCCATAGATGGAGGTGAAAAGAAAATATACAAAATAATGAGCCAAATGGCATATAGTCAACTAGTATCCCCTCAACTAATATCCAATGCTTCCCTACCCCACTTCCATCAAACAAATACTTGTATCACTTAGGGAGGCAAGAGGTATAATTCCTGTCCTAGACACGTCAAAATCAAATGAAAACTATTTCTTCATTCACTTTCCTTATTTAAATTTCTGTACCAACAGCTTATAAGCCATCAATGGCAAGCGTAAACATTTATTCAATAGTAGCAATAATGTTACACTAAACAACAGCAAATAAATAACTAGCCATCAGATACCAGTTGGGCATCCAATTAGTATTGTCAGTAATATTTTCACTTTGCACTTGTGAGACAGTGATGTCACAAACTCACAATTCATAGTCAGGCTTCAACAAAGAAATGAAAACACTCAAAAACAACATTTACCCAATTCCGCCCAATAAATTCTCAACAAGCACATCCAACAACCAAAGAGACGGTATTTCAAATACTCAACTTGCTAATAACATTATTACTTTCTTAATACTACTTCATAATATATGGGAAGTCAATGGGCCATCAACCTAGCAAATTGCACTACCATTTTCTACAAAGATTGTGTGGTGCAGGCAGTAGCATTAGAAGCCAAAAAAAATCATCGTCAAGTCTCCTCAGTCCCACCATGTTCCATCAGATTGCATTATATGTCCTATACTCCTATCCAAATTTGAGCATTTCCTAAATACAAATTTTTAAACACTTCCCAATTTCCCATAAAGGACAAAAAACTTTTGAGCACAAGGAGTTTAATAAGCTTGTGATAAGCTCCTCTGATTACCAATATGGGGCAACATATACCACATGGCCATAAATAACCAGAGTATGTTGCAAAAAATACTAGAGAAAATGAACGACTCCATGATCATTCGATGCCCTAATATATTGTAGTACCGCAAAGAGCATTGATGCAATGATTTTAGTACACTAAAAGAATGAATAAGAAAAGTGGAAACTTCTTGAGGTCTTTATTTTAAATTGTACTCCAATTGGTTAGCAAGCAGCACTCAAGAGTCAAGAAGACAGCATGGCCCTTTTCCCATAGGTTATTTATCTAACACAGGGCAGCTTGTTCTTAAATTTGCCTAAGCCCCATCTCCTTAAAAAGTAAACATTATAATTTTTTGTCATTAAAAGCCTTGGTCATTTTAAATTAGAAACCATCAAAATAAGGTACATTCATCTTCACCAAAAGAAGCGATATGCTAAAGAAAAAGGTACATGAAAGAACTTCGGAAGCCACCTGTCAATACCAAATCATCAAGAATCATTCTACTTATTAAGTAGATAGTTACCTTTGCAGTCTTCCTCAAAGTCTCTCTAGAATCAGCTGAGTACAATCAGGTACCTGCTGCCATAACCCATCAAGTCTTAGAAACCTAAGCTTCAGTGTTTCAGCAAAAGAGAAAGAATGAAAATCTAGGAATTTGCATTCTTAACTAATTTTAGTAAACCATGCAATCATTGTCAAGTCTACAATAATAAGTGGAAAAAAAGTTTGTACATGTCACTCCACAATATTCTGTAGTCTATATAGATGAAAAATGGAAAATAGATAAGAGGCTCAGAAAATCTTTATTCTTTCCCACTGTCAGCATAAGGCAGCATGACTTCATATTTTGCACAGATCCAGCACTTAGAAACACCACCATTGGAGTAACCCCACTTAGTGAGAATGGAGTGAGTGCATTATAGAAATTCCACTACTTTCAGAATTCTTAACCACAATACATAGATTCAGGCTTATAAGTTTTAGGGCCTAACATGGAACAGATGACCTAGCATATAGGTTGTATAGCCTAGAATTATATCCTATACGAGGATCAATTAGTTAGTTTGGAACCTAATACGGAATAAATAATAATCTAGTGTATGGCATAAATTATCTTCTACATATAATAATATAGGTGTATGGCATAATAATCTAGGTGTATTAATTTCTCATTTAGTAAAAGATCAGCGTTGCTAAATACTTCGTATTATTTATACAGGTCAATCATAGACTATGGACAAGCAGTAAAGCTACGCTCGTGACGTGAGACAATTCCTATCACATGCCTCCTACGTTAAACACTCCAAATAAATGAATAAAGGGATACAGTTGCAATTTCCATGACATGATTACAACTTCATAGCCCTTTCATTCACCATAAAGCAAAAGCACACTTTCATCAGTGGCAGCAGACGAAAAAGTTTGTATCTAAATCTCTTAGAATCGTACAGCCAAATCACAATCTTCTCCTTTTTCTCTTCCTTGTAAAGTTAGCACAATGATTCCAACGAGAGCTATACTCATCAAATCATCAATACTCAGCTCAAGGTATTTAGTATAATTACTGTGGCAAAATATACTACTTTCCACAAATTTATACCTTACTTTCTTCTTTTGGGATGTCCTACATCTATTGTCTAATTCACTTGTAGAAATATCTGTTTCTACATATATATACCATATGACCATGAACAGTTGTTTCAGGACACTTAAATCCATTTCTATCTCACTTTCCAACTTACACTACTAAAGAAACAATGGCTGAAATTTTAAGGTTAGTAACATTATAATAAATCAGTTTCACTAACACATATTATAGTAACTATACTCTCTGCCTAGAACTATGCCAAATTCAACATTTCAATATTCTAAATTTTGGATCGTTTTCCAAACAGCTGTACTTATTGATTCAATTCTTTGTCACAGGCTCACTCAATAATAAAGCACCACATTAATCTTGGTGAAAACTATTCCGGACTAACCGACTAAATC